GGCTCCGGAAACTCAAGGGAAAAAGAGGCTAGGTGGCAAATGGCAAAACCAATGTTGGGCATTGTTGGAAAAGCTTTAATCAAGTCGAACTATCAAGGGGTTCCCATTATAACCCAACCGTGTAAGGAACGCAAAAATCCGGGAACATAACACCGATATGACGGAAACTAGGGCGGCAAGAGTGGAACAAAACACTAGGCGAGAGGCCGAGCCTTCCACCCTTTACCAAGAGTATAGATGCATTAAGATAACATAGCAATATAATGATATCCCAACAAGTAAATAAATGTTCCAACAAGGAACGACTCCAATCTTCACCTGCAATTAGCAATGCTATAAGAAGGGCTGAGCAAAGCGGTAACATAGCCAATCACCGGTTTTCTAGGACATGACGGGTTAGAGGTTCAACATGGCAATTGGGAGGCTGACAAGCAAAAGGTAGGCATCGTAGCATTGGCATAGCAAAGAGCGAGCAAACTAGCATAGCAAAGATAGTAGTGATTTCGAGGGTATGATCATCTTGCCTGCAAAGCTGTCAGAGTTGACTGGATCCTCAAAAGCAAACTCAACGGGCTCCTCGTTAGCGAACTCGTCTCCCGGCTCTACCCAAACAAGACAAACAAGCAACAAGGATACAATCAACCACGCGCAAGCTCAAACAATAAGATGCAATGATGGTATGCTATGCGGGATGCGATGCGGGATGCAAAATGCAAGATATGATAGGAAATGCATGAACCTGGCCTCAACTTGGAAAACCAAGTGTGCCACTGGAAAGATGGGATGAAATAGCTTGAAAACAATATAAAGAAGGCCGGAAACGGAGTTACGGTTTGGAAATGGCCAGCGATTCAAAATTGGCACCGGTCTGCGATTTACAGCAAGTAGGCATCTAAATGCAATGAAATAAACATGCTACAGCACCCAAACATGGCAACAAAATACATGTCAGAGAAGCATTCAATATGCTTAACAAAAGACTAGCACTGAGCTACGGCCAATTCATCCATTAACAGGTTCAAACAAGCATGACAAAAACGCAAATGCAAAACAGATTTCAGACTTAGTGAAATTAACACTTGTCTGAAATCTCAGATCATGAAGCCCTCTTCGGAGCAACAAAACAACATGCTACAGGACCTGATTAGGACAAAGAAGAACATGGCATGGAGCTACTCAACAAGCTTAACAAAAGGCCCTAAGTGACCTGGGGCCAAAAGGGATCACAAAATATACTAACAAGCACACGAACATAGCTAAAACACAATCAGTTTTCAGACAGTGAAAACTGAGACATGCTGAAATTATAACTCACGAAGGCATGTAAACGAGCTCGATGCACTCACTACGGTGCAAGTCATGGCAAGAAAAGCATACATCCATTAAGAAGGAACAAAATGCTAGCTATACATGGCAAGAACAATGGCATAGCATGCGTGGATCAACTACAATAACATCGGCAAAATCGCAAACGAGTTGACGATCTGCCCAGATTCACAACGAAGCAAAAGTAGAGCTCGATTGACTCAAGCTAGGGTGCTCCATAATTGCAAGCAAAGACATGGATGGATAGAGCACAAAAAGATTAACAAAACTCCTTTACCGATCATCCTCAAAAGAGGCACGGATCACTAGGAAACAACATGAACATATGGCATCATGAACTAAACAATCACGGACTTAGTGAAAACTACTAAGTCCCTGAAAACAGATTTACTGGGTGCCTCACTTTGCAAGCTTGCACAAGTCACCACACACATCCTAAAAATGCATGGGTTGCACCTCTGGAAAGATAACAAGATGTTTAACAAAACATATGAAGGACTCACAGACAAATCATGCATACAACAAACATGGCAAAAATGACAAAAGTCTAAGATGAACTAGCAGATCTGACAATTAACTCACGAAGCCTCCTTCTAACAGCATTTTGGGCATCAAGATGAACTCAAATTAAAATGATGCAATGGAACGAAATGATGTACTCGTCGAGACGAACATTTTCATATACTATATGTCCAAAACGGAGCTACGGATGCGGAGATATGGCAGGTCAAAGTTTGCATAAAAATTAGGGTTCGGAGGAGAAAGTCAACCCAATTTGAATCTAGATCTGAGATACGGCCGGAGTTACTGTTCACCGAGCGCGGAAACCGAGGACGGTCGGCGTCGAGGCGGAGGAAGTCGCCGGCGTGAGGGGAGGAGGAGGAGGACGGCGGGGCCGGGCACGGACGACAGCGTGGAGGGGCGGCGAGGCCGAGGCGGTGGCGGTTGGCGCCGGCGATGGCCTCGGCGGCGGGCGTGGCACCGGCTGGGAGGAGGCGGCGGGGAACTCCAGCGGCGGGCGGCCGGAGATGGCGGCGCGGTGGCGCCGGCCACCGGAGCCAAGGGAGGTGGCGGCGGGCGGATCGGGTCGCGCGGGGGCCCGACTTGGGCTCCGCGGGCCGGCGGCGGCGGTGGGTGGCGCTGCCACGTGTCGCCCTGTGGTTGGGCGCGGGCGGCGGCGCGGTGTGTCCGGCGGCGGACGGACACGTCCGGCGCGGAGAGATTTTGTTTTTTTAGTGTTTCGGAGAGGCAGAGAGATCCGAAAATGGAGGGGTCTATTTATAGGCATAAGTGGAGCTAGGAGAGTCCAAATGAGGTGCGGTTTTCGGCCACGCGATGGTGATCGAACGCTCTAGATGATGGAGCAGAGTTTGGTGGGTTTTGGGCCAAATTGGAGGGGTGTTTGGCTGCAACACACACGAGGCCTTTTCGGTCCCTCGGTTAACTGTTGGAGCATCAAACGAAGTCCAAATGGTACAAAACTTGACAGGCGGTCTACTGGTAGTAAACCAAGGCCGCTTGGCAAGTCTCGGTCCAATCCGGAAATGTTTAATCCCCACACATGACGGAAA